ATCCACCGCCTTTCTACACCACCTTTACATGCGTTCCTTTCGGGAATGTCATTCAAGCCTATCATGTAAACTTCAAGTCGATGGCTTTTGTTTAGTCGCCATGTAGGGCCTAAGATTTGTTTTCCATAGAGCCAGAATACTTTCTTCAATTTTTATTCGAAAGACTTGTTTCCTCTAAAGCCAGGAGACTTTCTTCAACTCCTACCGCGGAAACAGACCTCAAGAGCAGAAGATAAACGGAAAAGAACAAACAAGCGAGTGTTGAAAGAATGTGACAACTTCTAACCACAAAGCAAATGTCTGACAAATAAATTTTTAGCCTCATTTTCTATAAAATAGAAAAAAAGGAACCAGCGTATTTAATGGTAGGTTAAGAATGATTGATCTTAAGTTTTAAGACAATATTTGACTAGCATCAACAGTTTAGTATACGCTCGACTGCAAAAGCGTTGACATTTAAAGAGGGTTTACAATAAACAATGAGACCTCACGGCTTTATGGGCCAAATGTAAATAATAGCCACCACTCGATACCCGTGGCGAATGATAACAGCTATCCAGGCTTTCGTAGATGAAAATAATTATCATGGAAAAAAGAGATTTCGCATGAAAAAGGGGGAAAAGAGAATCACTTATTATGTATCTTTGCGAAAATTTCCCATAAAGCCATAAAGTTGGGTCTCATTACATTTAGGGGGGAAATATTTTTACAATCGAGTATACTTTTTATCCGGCTTACTCCCACATTTTTTCTACTTTTGAATAACAGAAAACGCTCCTACCTCTGATAGGAAGGATCTGCTGTCAGAGCTTGACCTAATGAAGCAACTCAAACCTCATCCATACGTTATCAAACTACTAGGATTTGTTGCTGGTAACGTATAAAAAAATTGAAAAAAAATTGAAATAAATAAAGTAAAAAGAAAAAAGTCTCATAGTGCAAGACAGACGAAAAATTCACAAAGGATTAAATTTTAAAACGCATTTTTTCCATTGACAGAACCGTTATTGGTGTTGACTGAGTATGTTCCATTTGGAGACCTGCTCGGTTATTTACGAAAAAGCCGAGGACTAAACGACAGTTACTACAGCAACCCGAAGTTCACAGCAGAAACCAGTTTGACGGCGGATAAACTGATGAAGTTTGCTTGGCAAATTGCCGATGGAATGACCTACTTGTCCACTAAATGTGTAAGTTAGTTCACAGGCTGTCGTCAGTTCACTCTGCTATCTAATACTCCTTTAGTAGAACCGCGCCAAGTCATTACTTCGGATTTGACCCCATTTTTCCAGTCCTGCATTTGACGGCAATTGAAGCACTTGCTAATGTAAGATTTGACATCAAAATCAGTCACCCTCTTTTCCCGGTATATAAAAAAGCTGTCTTTTTCATGATTTATCATAAGGATGTACAGAAAATGTGTAAGCATTGTAATTATGCATGCTATCTCAAATCAAGCATTTGGCTTTTCTATATCTTTCGGAGCAGATAATTCATCGAGACCTGGCAGCACGCAACGTGTTGGTTGGAGAAAATGAGACCTGTAAAGTGACGGACTTTGGAATGGCCAGAGATGTGCAGCAAGACAGCATATACGAAATGAAAACTACGGTACAATAAATTATCATATGATTCGTTTATTGTACAACATAAAGTCGGCTTAAATCCAGGATAACCTAACTTACACGGAAACACTATCACGTTTTATAACATAGCTAGCAGAGCCGCGCAATCAAATTCAGTATACGTAAGCGTGCTCAAAATCCCGATAGTGCACGCTGATAGCGTGAGCAAATCGCTTCGCCAGAAATTTTTTTTTTTCTCGCACGAGCGACCATTGTTAGCGCGGGGAAAAATAATGTATTTCGTGACAATAATGGATACAAACAGAGACTCGGCCCACCAGTCCCAAAACGAAGACAATTTTCCGACCTTTTCCCTTGGGCTAGAGTTCTTAAATGAGGCAAAAAAAGAGAAAAACAACGGAAAAGGAGGCATCAGCACCGTCACGATTCGCTTCACTGTCCGGGGGTGAAATGCAACACATTTTGACAGAAAGACACTCTGGAAAAACCAAACAAATGACAAACAATGGTCTGTTTCAACCGTCAAAGGTAATCTTAAATTTTTCCGTTATAAGTAAAATAAAAGTCGAGCTTTCAACTGAAAATTTGAAATAAAACCAATTCCTAGTTTGCTTAATATTTCGCTTACCTCGAACAATCACTTCTGATATTGCTGTCCGTTTTTCGCGTCGGATTTGATGCACAATTCCACCGCCTATGTTATAAAGCAATTGGTTCGTGCTTTAGCTGTGCTCTCTTACTCCCAAAGAGATGATTTCCATCTTTCTTTTCTTCTTTTTTTATATACTGGTCAACAGTACAAATATGCATGCATTGCATTTAACAATTGGTTCATGCTTTAACGTGCACTATCGAGTTATGGAGCACGTGGGAAGTTTGGAGAGCATTCATGAAGCTAGAGTTGCCCTCGGTTATTGCCATGGGCAACTCTTACGCTTCTTTCGTGCTCTCCAAACTTCTCACGTGCTCCATAACTCGATAGTGCACGCTAAAGCATGAAAAAATTGTTAAATGCAATGCACGTATATTTGTACTGTTGACCAGTATATAAAAAAGAAGAAAAGAAGATAGAAAGTAAGAGAGCCCCTACCGTTATGTTGCTAGTGAAAACCTAGTGCCATGTGCTCATTGTTTTCCATATTATGATGACTGAGAATTTACGGGTTTAGATAAACTCGAGCACCAGAATATTTATGATATATTGTTTATATCGGCAAGCTAGTTTTTAACTGACATCAATTTGTTACAGGTTATAGATAAATGACAAAGTACCTAGTTTTAAAAATCAAGATGAAGAAGTTAGAAGAAAGCCCCTGTTATGCTAAATTTTATCAATAGATGCTGACTTGTGAACATTGAAAAGAGTCATTCAACAAAATAAAAACAGCTTGTAAAGAACAGAATGTAGAGGGTGGTTTTCCTGTAGCTTGTGGCTAGTGAAGTACGTAAAATTCACCTGAAACTCCTCAGCTGCTGCTTTTTAGAGAGCAGTTGACTCAAACTGCAAAAAGAGATACATGTTTATTATAACAATTTCATTAAACTTCAGGGGCGACTTCCTATCAAGTGGACTGCATACGAGTCGCTTTTCTATGGGACGTACACCACCAAGAGTGACGTGTAAGTATTGACTGATCAAAGTGCCAGTAACCCCACGCCTTAATAAATCAGTTTTACCGAAAAAGCGTAAACGTGTAACGCTAAATTGGAATTTTACAGCGTTGGTAGTCATTACTTGAACTCAAGTACTTAGAAATTTTTATTCTGATTTCAATCATAACATATGCCGTAAGAGAAGCGCAAAAATAACTTCTAACAAGATGGATACTTTTCTGTTACACAGCGCACAAAAAGGAGAAAACGATCATCATTTCAGTAACTAGAATTATCTTTTCCACACACACACACAAAAAAAAAACAAAACAAAAAACTGGTACCACCAAGCTACAAGAATTATATCTGTCCCTTAAATGATTAGGGCTCTGCTCATCTATAGAAGTAACCATGATAAGTGAAACTAAATGTTCACATTTTTACAGGTGGAGTTACGGGATTGTCCTCTATGAAATCTTTACACTGGGTAAGATTTTTTAATGTGATTTCCTGTACCCTGGAAGTATTGTAAATAACACTTTATAGCCATCGAGAAGAGCCATCTTATCCCATCCGTACTAATTGCAATACAATTAATACTAGATAAAAAGGTATTGATAGTAGCCAAGGTTTTGATACCTCACGTTATAATCTACCAAATAACTTTTCTCACGCGCGATTGGTTTAACGCATAACGTATTCGAATATGCCCCGAAAATGAAAAAGCGTTCAGCTATTGTTACTGAAGAAGGGAAATGTTTGTTTGTTCATTAAGCCGAACCAGACAAACACTGAAAGGTAAATATCCCACGCAACAGACAATAAGCTGTTCGTAACATTTTTACTGCGCGTTGCATAAACATTTTGAAAATGATAAACATAATAGCCTCCAATTGGCGCGAAAATATACTAGTACATTTGTCCTTCGATATTGTCTGGTCGTCACCATCATCATCATCATTTATTAGCCATTTGAGATACAATATTTATACCGGTTTAATAGTATGGTAGGGCGAAGTGACCTCCAAGAAACCACCAGGCTTTTAGGGTAGGCCACCTCGGTTGTCAATATGTTTGTAATTAAGATGTGGATGTAGATGTGAGGCTTGGCCAATTCGGACTCATTTCATTAAAAAATTAATCATCTTTAAAAGGGAAAAGCCAGTCAAACCGGTAATCGATATTGAGAGAGAATTCCATATTTTAGGACCTTGGTAGAGTACTGTAAATTGTTTAAGATTATTACGAAAGTCATGTGGTCGATAGCAATCGGCTATGTATCATAATTGCGTACTTGCTTATTTGCAGAGAACCAGCTGAGAAACATCGGGGGCAATGGTTGGTTATGATAAAACATAAATTCAGCTATTTGCAATGCGTTGACTTGGGAAATATCTAAGATGCCCCGTTTAGGAAATATGAGGCAGTGCGTTCTCGATAGTCTTCGAACCTTACAGTTTTCCTTGAGCTCCACCCTCGGGAAACTGTTTGCGTATCTGAACGGATGATGTCCGTGGACAAAAATCCGCGCACATTTTCGCGTCAAATGGGGGCGATCGTTTACATTTGCTGTAATTTAGATTGCTTATCACTTTTAGGTGGATCGCCATATCCTGGTATGGAAGGAAAAACGGTTCCAGGTTGGCTCAAACTTGGATATAGGATGCCAAAGCCAGTACACATCGACGACACATTGTATGAATTTCTTCAAATATTATTAGATTTTAGAACAGTTTATGTTCACCTCAACATAGCCTTGATACCCTCGTGGTGTCCTTTCTTTCGAAATTTCCTGGCTCTGATTAAAACGAGTACAATAGTTTATTTTGTTTCAACCCACGCTAACTTGTTTTCGATTATGTCAACATCTCCCTTTTCATGATGAGAACTAAGTACCGCTATAATCATACGATAGAAAACAAACCTCTTGTTTGTCTCAGATATCAAGTGATGTTAGAATGCTGGCAAATAGAAGCGAACGAAAGACCGACATTTTCTAACCTTACAAAGAAACTTAAAGTAATGGAAAACCAACACAAGGTATAAACTTCTACTCCAACAGTATTTTAGCTACAAAAACACTAGGTTAAAGCTATTTCAATTATGTTTACAAGTTTTGAAATCTGGTTGATTCCTAAAAATGCTCATTAAGCCACCAAAAATGTTCCGTGTTTGTTACGAGCATTTGGCAATCAGACGACAGTTCATTTATGTACTACGTCCGATGCCATAACGTTGCTGTGGCGTCAACTAACTAGGATCAATGGACATTTTTTATCGAATTACAACATAAAGTGGAGGGTAAAGTAAAATTACAGTAAGGGTTTAACGTTGAATCTTTCCCTTGTTATTTTTTTTTTTTTTTTTAATTTTTTTTTTTCATCATTTGCATTTTTTATTTTTCAGAAGCTAATCCAGATGGCGAAGTATGACAACACACTTTATGTGAATGTCGACGATTTAGTTGTCTAGTATTGAGACGAGACGTTCATTTCGAAAAGGGACAAAAGGAAAAAACTCAATTCATTAAAACACATGAGCAATCGGGTTTTGAAGCTCTTTAGATAACCTTTAGATAATCAATAGGAAAATCGTCTAATTAATGTCGTTTGTACAAATGATTTTCGTCAGATATTTCTTTTAAGATTGATTCAATACCTTTCTAACCTTTTCCACTTTTTACGACTCACTGATATTCTTCTTGTTAGCGTTCATTAACAGTATTAAGTTCGTAACAAGTTCATATACAATTTACAGCTGTTTCGAGAAAGTTTGTCGGAAAAAAGGGCAAAAGCGCACCCGACAATCTCGAATGGAAAGCTGGGTATCTTGTAGTCAATAAAATTGCTCAAACCGTGGTGCCTCGTCCTGACAGTGACGTCTCCGAATACATTAACATTAATGTTAGTCCGCTTTTCAATTTTATCATACTGTTTTACAGACACTGGAAATTCAATATCAAATTGAATATATAATAATAACAAAATCTAATTACATTAACTTTAAGTGAGCACTAACTCTGGAAAACAAACAGTTGCCTATACAGAAACTACTCTCGGGAAAAAATCTTAGTAGACTTAAAACACCTAAACACCCTTAATCTCTTTCAAAAGAAACCTTATTTTCTGTCATAGCAATACTCCGAACTGTGTTATAAATATTATTTTAAAACTGTAAATCCGTAATGTACGAGAAATAATAAAGTAGAGTAAAAGTATAGGGGCCTCAACTGCATTGAGATCATGCAGAAGGGAGCTTTTCGAGTTAACTAATGTTCCAGGTAAGAACTAAGAGAGCTATTAAAAACAAATGAGAAGCGGAGGAATTCGTTGACAAAGTAATGGACAGGTTTTTTTGATTGACAATATTTCTTAACTCTATCTTAAATTTTCTCGACTCTTAGTTCTCTGCCTATCACACTGCCGACGAACCTTTTTATTTGCTTCCCTGATTTCGGTTATTCGCATTTTTATTCTCGACCCAGTTACCTCTCCTAGTTATTACATAGAACATTACGGATCCTCTTTAAAAAAAAAGAGTACGTCAAGACAGACTTGACAACCATCAAGTCTCCTGGGTCCATTTCATCCAGTTCGGAGAGTGGGACATTTGCGACGACTTCCCCTGCACTTATTTTCTTCGTCGTAAACACCTTCTCTTCGCAGGAATCAGGCATCAATACTATTCTTCAATACTATTCTATAGAAATGAAGCGCAAAGTAATTAATTAATTATCTGTGGTGAATCAATAAAGTGCTAATTCCATTTAAATTATTTCAGATTCAAAGTTCCAGTTTAAACTTGTAAAAATACGCAATTGATAGTTGTCGTAAATACATTTAGCGAAATGCAAGAACTTTGACTTGTTATCACCAACGATCATCTATCCTCTGCACCGCATTTCAGACTCAAGAGCTAAAATCTATCCCTAATTTTTGAATGATTCCCTAGCCTTTTTCCCATTACCATTGAAGCCACTGCGTACACCAGCCCCAAGGACAGTCCCGTAGATCTTAGATGCGCCCTCCATTGTTTCCATTCGGGCAACTGTACTCGGTGCTAAACAGGTTTGGCCCTCTGATAGAGCTCCATCTTCCTCCCCTCCAGCGGAAGGACAAAACACTTTTCTCTTCGAGAATCCAGTTTGGCTTGGTTTTCTGAAATGAAAACAAACGATCAGTACATATTCAAATCATTTCAATTTTTTTTCATTTTATTTTTTAATTCAAGTATCTCACCTGGAAATGCATCAGGCCCCGCAGACGCTGGACCTCTCCTTCCTGGAGAACAGTGCGGGTCAAGGCTGCATTTATCGTGTGCCGAGGCACATCCTTTTGCTTTACGATGGCAGTGCATCCAGCCACCATGCACTTGAGAGCTTTTCCTGAGCACTTGCCCAGATGCAGCGTCAAGTAGAGCCTTTAAAAGAAATAAAGTGGAGAATAGAGATAAGCTGGTAACTCCACCTTTCAATATTGTTGTTGGCATAAACGTCGTGTTGAGCCTTTTTGTTTCAGCGATTTCTATTATAGAGGCTGCGTGGCTTTTTAGCTGTATTGCAGAAGGACAAAAATTATCCTAAGGCAACAAAAAGACTTACCACAGAGAAAAGTTGAATAGCGCGCCGGGAGAAGAAGAAAACTCAAAATGATCATCAGACATAGCGAATCTGACAGTGAATATAGCTGCAAAGTGATTGGATCCAAGCGAAATTTGCTTTTTAGTGAAATCACCAAAGACCAACTGATGAATAAACTATTATCATAACCATGGGACCTTCATAGGTAATTTGTATTTCCTGGATAATTTTCCGCGTATTCATAAATATAAATAAAAACTGATCTGACAGCAATCGACCCATGAAATGACAGTTTTTTATTACTATTATTTGTAATGAACTTTATTCTACACACATCAGTTACAAATGACAATACTTACAAAAAATACTACAAATAGAAACGCACTTAACATACACTATTTACAAAAGGAATGGCTACTTACATCTACACTATCAACGGGAGAATTTACATTACTTACATGATATTTACTTGATACACCTACACAAAAAAAAATAACTAATTGTACTTATGTCTATAAACTTGTTCATTACAGAATCGCACCCATTGAAAAACGTCGCACGGGAAAATGCAAATAAGCTAGAAAAGAGAAAGAGAGCATGCGTAACTTCACGCAGGCCTGTCAATCCGACTGTAAATCATGTAATCCCCGTGTACGCAGTGTTCGCAAGTATTGTTTCTTGTGCAGACAACCGAAACGTAGCGCTTTTCATCGAAGAAGAATAGACGTAATTAGTGGCGTTATCTTGATTAGGTTATATTGTTTAAAAATCGGTCAGATGTAAAATTAAATTACCTTTCAAATGCCGGGTTTTCAATTTGTGTTAAGACTCAAATGCGGCAGATTTACGAGGTTCGACCATCAATTTCGCCAAGAAAGCAAAACATTACAGAAATATTCCTTTTAGTAAAATTTCCGTACTGCCCCATACTATCGTAAAACAAATCTGTTTTCCCAATGGTAATGTATTGTTTTTGTCACTCTATCCAAGAACTGAACGTATAATGTAGTATGGGGCTGTGCGGAATTTTACCTTCCTTTTTAGCCCGTTATTGCCGTCAGTTTCAGATAACACGTCGGTAGTCTATTTACTTTTCGAAAAGCTTAAGTATACGTTGTAGATTCCCGCTCCACGTAAGTGCACGCTCACTTCCAACTCAGCTTTACCATGACAACACTTCGTTTGCACACGTGACCAAAACAAGCCAATGAGGAACCTCGTTCCGGGATCTTTACAATCGTTGTTTGGTAGCCATAGCGACAGATAAACAAGTAGAAATCTTGGTTCGTTTACTTATCTCGCTCATTAGAGTGGTTTAGCAAGAGGACGGGAACGTCATTTCAGAACGGCGCGCGCAGCAAAAATGCCGAGAAGAAACTGGGTCGAGAACGCCGTCGCGTTGTGTTGAAAAGTGACTTAGCAGTCGTTTCAACGAACCGTCCACGTTATATTTGTTCTTTTGTTTCGTTCTTGAATATCCTAACCTTGGCTCTTTAGGATCATTATCAGCTTTGAATTTTTACGGTTTCGTAGACCACTTGAAGGACAACGAAATTATCCTCTTTGAGGGTGTAACAAGCACAAACCGAGGATAGTTTACTACAAGTGAGTAGTTAATATGAATCCACATGGGCGGTTAAACTTTGAAATTATTCCATTCCAGTCTCGAGTCTATCAGATTTTGAAGCCAACTAAATATATTTTTTTTTATGATTTGTATCGCTGTCATTTCGTTTCGTGCTTCTAGATTTCAGCACTACTCGTTTTTCTTCATAATTTTGTAAAGTATAATTTGGAATTGAAATCGTCGCCGTTTTTTCCCTTGTTTACTGAATATTCTTCTCAATCATGACAGTACACCTCTTTTGAGCACCACCTTCTTAGAGTTGCAATGCATTTTGAACGGAGTTATCAGAAGTTATGGCGAAAACATGTAGAGATCAAGCGACCCAACGATGGAGTTGTTTACAATGAGTTCCCGTTTAACTATGAACGAATGAAATGCACTCAAACTAGGCACCAACTAAACGGTTAGACTGAGGAATCAGACTTCGTTCCTGTTTTATTTTTGTTTTTGTTTAATTTGATCTTTTTAACGAATAAAGTCGTTCAAGACTGAATCAAATTAATAGATTTAGAAAGCCGTGCCGAAATCAAGTTGATTGTTATTTTCTTTCGTAGATGACTTTCTTGTCTTAGTTTTCACCGGCGCTGATCAAAAAATAGACATAAAAAAGTGCAAACCTGAGCTATTCTCAAATTTTTTTATCTCTGACTTCAATTCGCAGAACAGTTTTTAATCACGGTTAAAATGACAATGACAACAAATAACACCGAATAATACAGCAGGTAACCTTCGTGTTGTTTCATTTTGATAAACTTCAACATGAAGCAAGCTTAATTTATTGATGAATTGATTCACGATAAAATTAACAGCAACCATTCTTGGAGTTTTCATACATGGTTTAAGAAATGTATCAAAGAGAGCCCTTACGTTGCTTAAAGCCACGCTCAATTACAAAAGGTAACTGAGTCCTAAGATCTTAGATCGCTTGCTGACGATCGTGTTTCCTTTCGGGAATCCAGAATAAACGTAGCGGTAAATTTTCACAAATTCACCGAATAAAATAGAGAAAGGAACCTGGTTATCTTGGAAATGAGTTCTGAAATCATTCCAAACAGCATCATCTCGTTTATGAGTGCACAATGAACGCAAATCCTAGGCGTTTTGATCACGACGGGAAAACCAGCGAAATGACGTCCTGAACTTGATAGGGAGAACGGCAACACTGACACCGGAAGTCGAAATAGAGTCGTGTCCAGATTATCCACGCGCTTTCCCGTTCTGAAATGACGTTCCCGTCCTCTTGCTAAACCACTCTATTAATCGCGTGTACACGACGACGTAAACTATGGCTTATGAAATCGGAAAAAAATACGAAGCTCTTCATGACGGTCGATGGTATATATGCACCATCTTAAGTCAAAAAGGCGACAGGTACAAGGTTACCTTCGATGGTTGGAGCCGACAGTTTGACACAGTTCTCAGCGCCGACTGTCTTCGCCCCTGTACAATGATTGACGTTCGCTCCAGAAAGCATTGGAGACCCAGCGTGAATTTCAACAAGTTGCTGCCAGGCGACAAAGTTTTCATCAGCATCGAGGGCATCAGAAAACCGGCCGTGGTCAGAGTGGTGGATCCTTTTCAAGAACTCGTTACAGTGGAGTGCGGAAACGAAGAAATCATTGCTTCTTTCCGCGATGTACTACCACCGCCAGAACCCACTCCTGATACTGTCAAGAGGAGAAAACCAGCAGCTTTGCCCCAAGCAGCGCCAGCAGCATCACCACCACCTCCCGTATCGGCGCCTGTCAGTGTCCAGTCAGCCATAACCCCGCAGTTCGCGACGATCGTTCGCCTTGATGGTATCAAAATCAGCTGCGGAGATCTCGTGAGCCTCACCCCGAACAGTGCAGACGTCGTCTTCATTGTCCTGGAGCTCTACCAAGACGAGTCCGGCTTAGAGGTTCTTATAAATGCTCAGAAGTGCCAGCTGTCAGATGGTGTCACCGTTCGCCCGCTAGCAAACTTCTGGCTGACCTGCCCGGCATCCGCGGTTCACACACTTCAGGACACTAAACTTTCGTCTCAGTTAAAGAAAGTGGTCCTAGAAGTCCGAAAAGGAGCCATCCTGCGGCTGTCCCAGTCCCTGCAGCTACACATGGCCAACCGCGCCTATCAGCTTCAAGTTCGGCGGTACGGCTTGGCAGCCAAGCTTCGCTGCGAGATCTACAGAGTAATGTCTTCCAAGGAAGCTCGCACCTTCGTTATCAAAATGGGCCCAGCTGATCTCCGCCACGATCTTGAATTACTTGGGTTAGCGGTTGAAAACAATTTCAAGGTGGAGAAATCGAAGAATCGACTCGACGATCTCGATCCCCAGCTTGGTGAAAAATGGGACGTTGAGCTTAAAGAAGACGACTGCTACTTCTACGCAACCTTCGCCGAGTTTGCCCTGGACCTGCCGTCGCGATCCCTCCTCGTGAAGATTAAGTTTGTAGAGTCCACCAGTTCGTTTCGCCAACATTGCTACCGCCAAGACACTGCTGCTGACTGTTGCTGATTGTTGAGCAATTGCTAAATTATCTTAGTTTGCCTCACAAACGGCTTT